CTCAGCACCACATCCCCACTCAGCACCACATTTCCACTCAGCACCACTTCCCTTTCCTGCTCTGCTTGCATCACTGCTGCACCCACCTCAGCCTTTCCCACCGTGTGAAGATCCTGCCTGCAAACCACTGAGTCATGGACAGGAAACCTTGAATGCCACCAAAATGTGAATTAGAGCTGTTTCCTACGCTGTTGCACACTGACACCACCCTAGAGTCACTCAAAAGGGTCRAGGTGGGAAGGGACCTTCAGTTTTCATCTGATCCTGCTCAAGCACAGCCACCTAAAGCTGCTCAGGACGAGTTCCAGGTGTTTTGGGAACATGTCCAAGCGTGGAGACACCACAGCCTCCCTGGRCAACCTGTACCAGTGCTTGGTCACCCTCACAGGAAAATGTTTCCTGGTGCTCAGACAGAGCCTCTCAGGTCTCAGTTTTTGCCCATTGGCTCTTGTTCTTTCCCTATAAACCCCTGTGAAAAGAACGTGCATGGGGCATCTCATATCTCTCTGGGCAGCCCATTTAATCGTTTTGACATTGTCATCATAAAAAAATAATTTCTTRTATCTGATCTAATAACTGAGTTGCTAATCTTCTTCTTTGTATCTACTCTAATAAYTAAGAGGTTAATCTCCTGTCATTTAATTTAAATTACCCTTGTGGTATTGCAACAGGCCTCGATACAGACATCTGAGGGACACTGCTTGTCATGATCTCCAAGTGGATATTCAGTTTTTCTTAATTTGTTATTAAAATATTTCTCATTTTAATTGTGCCTGAAAGTTTCTATCACCTGTCCATGTCCTCACTGAGCCAGGTCTTTTCAGGGAGTTCGGGGGAATCAGAGTAAAAGGCATGATTTTTTTGTTATTAAGACTTTTTCTTTCAGTCATTAAAAAAGGCCTTGAAAACCTTTTGCAGTAGGGATGAATATTCCTCCCGTTTCTGTGTGTAATTAGTGCAGCCGGTAAAGATAGTGCTAATTAGATCAGAGAAAGGCTTTGCAAACAAACCTTTGGCACTGCTGCGGGCTGCAGTAACAGAATTGTCAAGGAACAAGAAAGAATTGTCTTATTGCCAGCACATAAATCAAACTTTGACCTCTCCCTGCTTGACCACAAAGATACTTTTCCTCTCCCTGCCTGATTCCCACCAGGGTATAAACCGGACTAATTCCTTTTCAAAATATTTCCTTTTTTTTTTTTTTTTTTTTTTCATAATTAGAAGAAAAGACAAACAGAAATTACGCTGCAGGTATTCACTGAAACCCAGAGGGGATCTCCCTAATTAACCGCACAATGCTCAGAGCGCCTCGGGGAGCGGCAGACGAACAAACACGGAGCTCATTAGGGCTGTCAGCATTTTAATGAGCCCCGGCAGGACCGCGGTGCCACCTCCCTGCTCCGGGCAAAATCTGGCACGGTGCCTTGAGGAAAGGAGGCAGAGGCGAAAACAAACGTGGAGCTTTAATAGAGCCCAGTGCGAGGTGCGAGAGCAGGAACAGAGCGGGGCAAAGAGCTCCCAGCAGGGCTCATTAGAGCAGGAACTCGCASAGTTTGATTACAGACAGCTCAGGAAGACTCAAACTTCTCCTGCACCGACCTTCCCTGGCAGGAGCCGAACAGCAGCGCCCGGGGGGTGCCAGGGTGGTGGTTCTGTCAGGAGAACACACACGGCCGGAGGGAAGGGAAGGGCACGGAGCCACCGCTGCAGCGGCTGCTCCACACCACGGGCACGGCACAGAGCCGGCTGGGGGCACGGGGACAGCCCGGACACGGCCACTGGAACACGGGGAATGCAACAGGGGAACTGTGAAACTGCCACTGTAAAACTGCCACTGTAAAACTGTCACTGCAACACAAAAACTGCAACACAGGAACTGTAAAACTGTCACTGCAACACTCTCACTGCAACACTGTCACTGCAAAATTGTGACTGCAACACGGGAACTGCAAAACTGTCACTGCAAAACTGTTATTGCGAAACTATCACTGCAACACAAAACCTGCAACACTGTCACTGCAGAACTATCACTGCAACACTGGGACGGCAACACTGTCACTGCAACACGGGAACTGCAAAATTGTCACTGCAACACAAAAACTGCAACACGGGGACTGTAAAACTGTCACAGCAACACGGGGCTGCAACGCGGGGACTGCAACACATCCTGGGACTGCAACACGGGAACTGTAAAACTGTCACTGAAAAACTGTCACTGCAAAGCTGTCACTGCAACATGGGAATTGCAACATGGGGACCGCAACACTGTCAATGCAACACAGGGACCGCAACAGTGTCACTGCAAAACTGTCACTGCAAAACTGTCATTGTAAAACTGTCACTGCAACACAAAAACTGCAACACGGGGCTGCAGAACTGTCACTGCAACACTGTCAATGCAACACGGGAACTGTAAAACTGTCACTGTAAAACTGTCACTGAAAAACTGTCACTGCAAAGCTGTCACTGCAACACGGGGACTGCAACACGGGAACTGTAAAACTGTCACTGCAACACGGGGATTGCAACACGGTCAATGCAACACGGGGACTGCAACACACACTGCCAATGTGCTCAGGAGCCAGCAGCTATTCTAACTAATTATCTCTCCAGTCCCAGATAATTTAGGAGAGAGATTATTGGGTCATTTTCATTTTGCCTTATGCGCATTTTGCAACAAAGTAATTTCCTTGGGTTTGGAAAGCTTCACGCAGAATTGCAGCAGAACGTTTTGACAACCGTGTATTATAGTCACACCAGACCAATGCAGCCAGTGACAAACTGTAGTATGCATTTTTTAAGAATTGGAAAGATTGACGAGTGTTTCTGGATACCAGACTTTATAAAAATCTGAAATATCCAGAAAAACACTGAAGAAAACAAGGAATGGTATGGCTTACCTCACTTGGCAATATTTTTTGAAACCTGCAGGGTCAGAGAGTGTTGGTGTTCTGGCCAACAGACACAAGCTATGATTTAGAAATCTTCAATGTAAAGAAGAAAAGGAACAGAGAGGAATTCTTGAGTGGGTGACCATTTCATCACCCAAGATGACAAATACCATATTGCCCTGGTTTTGGCTGGCATAATYTTCTTCTWAGTAGCTGGAGCAGTGCYGTGTTTTCRATTTAGTGTRAGAATAATATTGGTAACACGTGGATGATTTTGCGTTCACTCTAAATCAARTTTTCAGTTTCCCAGGCTCTGCCAGTGAGCAGAGGCTCAAGAAGCTGGGAGGGAGCAGGGCCAG